GATCATAAATGTTAACATCAAGTTTTCCCCTTTATTCATTCACACTCATGGTTCTCTGAAAACTTAAGAACTCACAGGACAGGACCAAAATTAAGGGGAAAAAAAAGTTTTAAGCAATAAATTCACATTTATATCCAAAGGAATAGCCAGAATAGCCAAAGTATATCAGGTAATTGAAGGGCCAGAGATAAAAGACAAGTAGAAAGGATTACATGAATCAAGGATCCCAAGATATAAACTTTATATACTTACAGGATCAACAAAGTCCATATTGAGTCCATAACAAAGCTTCTGGATTCGAGACGTAATTTTGTCGAACATGACTCGCTCTTGGCGGCCATCTGAAGAACCAAACCATAAGTCATGTTAGAACTTATTACAATGGCAATGTCAAAGAATCAAATGTAATTAATATGTGAACTTCAAAAATTAGCCAACATGAAATGCTATTTCACAAATGAAAGAATTCAAACCACTAAGACGTTCATTGAGATTGCCTTTGCTTTTTGGGGGATCATCTTCAAAAAGCAAATACTCTACTTGGAAAGTCTTTCCTTTCCTTACATTATGCTGATGGATTCTTGCATTAACTTTCCAAATGACGTTCCCCTTTTATCCTATATAATAGCCAGAATTATCTCCGCCCCCAACCCATACTGGGGATTGAACTCAGGGGTGTTTTACCACTGAGCCACATCCCCAGCTCTTTTTATTTTATTAGTTTATCAACTTGTTTCAGTTTTATATACATATAAAAACACTGTACATATTCATTTATGGGAAACGTATTTTTTATACTAGGGATTTATTTTACCACTGAGCCACATCCTCAGCCCTTTTTATTTTGAGACAAGGTCTCACTAAATTGCTTAGATCCTCAATAAGTTGCTGAGGCTTGCTTTGAACTTGTGATCTTCCTGCCTCTGCCTCTTGAGTCACTGGGTTTAAAGGCATGTGCCAGCATGCCCTGCTGTAAAATGAGTTTTTTACTGTGGGTTACAATCCAAAGTTTTGAAAACACTACATTAAATTTCAAAGCACAGTTTATAACTCAATTGCTACTCTGTCATTTATTGCAATGGCTCCCAACTTTTATTTTTTAATCTTAATTTCTCATTAGGGAAAAAAAGCTCCAGATAACATATGAGAAAAACTCATCTGATATTCCTTCTGTTATCTAACAATTTTCCTATGGATTATTCCTAAATCTCTTACAAGTTCAAGTTTTTGAAGATAGAGCTGCTTCTTCCCTTTATCATTTTCCTCATAGTGTTTGGGCAGACAACAACTGCTAGCTGTCCTCTGAATAATTACATTAAAATTAACAAAAACTATAAGAGTTAGTCTGTGACTTCACTGGCATGCCAAAAATAAGAGAGGTGAAAAAAAAACTGACAAAACCTATGCACACTAAAAAATAAAAAATAGGGCTGGGGGTGTACCTCAGTAGCAGACCACTGGTCTCCTCTGCCCAAAGCCTTGAGTTCAATCCACAGGACCACAATAAATAAATAAATAAATAAATAAATAAATAAACAAACAAACAAACAATAAAATAATCAAATCTAAGTACATTTCAAATATTAAAAACTTTTACTCAGTGGCAGACCGCCTGTCCAGCACAAGTGAGGCACCGCATAAAAATAAACAAATAAATAAAGGTATTGTGTCCATCTACAGCTAAAAAAAATTTTTTTTTTAAAGGCTTACTGAATTTTAAAATGGCTGAGTCTAGATAGAGCATGGGTCATCCAGATTAAACTGTTCTCTAAGGGAATGAGAAACAAAATAAGTCCTGTCTTTTAAGGTGCTTACTGTAGAATCCCTTGTAAACTATAGTATTTTAAGGTAGAGTTAAAAGGTTAAAAATTCAGCCTTTATTAAAGATTTATTAAATCACAGTTATTACCTACTCTGGTCATCTAAGTCCATAAATTCTCAATTTATCTTTGTTACTGACTTATCTTAAGACCAAACTCAAATATTTCTTTCTAAAGGTTTAAAAACTATGTTCATCTCTCAACCACAGGCACAGACCAAAAACAGTACACTAATGCTGGATGCAGTGGTACACACTGGATAATCCCAGTGACTCAGGAAGCTGAGAAAGAAAGATCACAAGTTTGAGGCCAGCAACTCGGTGATACCCTGTCTTAAAAATAAAAAAGGTCTGGGGTGTATAGCTCAGAGGTACAGCATGCTTGGGTTAAATTCCCAGTATCAATCAATCGATAGATAGATAGATAGATAGATAGATAAATAAATAAATAAATTCCCAGTACCAATAAATAAATAAATAAATGAATGAATGAATGAATGAATAAATAAATACATACATACATACATTATTGTATTTTGGTGCCTGGTTTCATGAGCTAAAATGGGGGCCTGGAGAAGTTCAAAAACTGATGTATCAAGATACTAAACACAGGAAGATGGACCACCATTGTCCACCTCTCCAGCTGTAGTTAAAGCAATCTGGACACAGGAAAATCAACTGCCTACCCACAGCAATCATTGCATCCTACATTTTTACATAATCATTCCCATTTATCCTGTGAGCACCTATTCATAGCAGATTCTATGTTAAATGTGAGCAGTCCCCATCTTTGAAATGCTCACAGTCTAGAAGACAAAACAGAAACACCCAATCAACTAGTATTTAATAAATTCCTACAATTTCTAAATAACTTTGATATTTTAAAAGGCAAGTAGACTGACCTCAAAAATCTGTTCCTACCTCTCATATGGCTCTCTGTTTTAAGTTATGTGTTGTTTTGTTTTTTCCAATCTTTCCTGAGGCAGAGATTACCTGCTTAGCAAACAGTTGGGCACAAAGAAGGAATACAGCAAAACTAACAGGAAATAACTGTTGGAAAAGAATGCAAATCCCTCCTGGGTTCTTTCATTCTGTCAGAAGAAGCCTTGGCCACCTTTCTTTGATCTCGTGTCTCTTCCCTTCATAAGGAAGACAGTCTCTGCCACAAACTCTCCTCTGGGACTGCTACTGGGACACAGGGCAACACTATGTCTCAAAGGACAAACTCTAGAGTGCTGCCTATGTCTGGAGTCTTTTTTTTTTTTTACCCCACACGTCCACCCTCTTACCACAAAAGTGACAAGGAAAATGACAGGTGCCCGTTTAGAGGTCAAAGTCCATTCTTTCCTCATTTTCTCCTGTGCTTAGGGCGTGTCACCAACCTCATATTTTCATTTTCAAGTAAAACTGTGTTGTCAGGTATGGGTCCGAACCCTGACTTCGCCATGAACTAACTGGGGGACACTGGGTCACCAAAACCTCTCTGAACTTGAGTTTCTTCATCTGTGTGGAGCCAATGATTGCTATCTCATACGCTGTGGTAAGGAAGAACAAAATGCCTATAAAACGCTGGCGCACACAGTAACCACTCGATGCCAGGAAGGAGTGATACTTTTGGAAGAAGTTAATGATGACAAAACTGAGGAAGTGCAGACCGAAGCCCAGAAGGAGGACGGAGGAGACAGACGGGAAACAGAGGCCGTGTTGGATGACAGGGCGGGAAGTCGCGGCGGGAAGGGCGGGAAGCGGCAGCCGCCAGCCGGGCGGCCCGCCGGCGGGAGAGGGTAAGTGCTTGGGGAGCAGCAGCCCACGTCCCCAATCTTCCACCTCACCCACCCGCGTCCTCCCCGGACCCCTCACTCACCTCGCTTGATCACATGCATTGCAGCTAGTGGCAGGAGTGGTGAGGGATCCGAGACAGGGCGGCAGCTCCAAGACGCCAGCAGGATCGAGACAGTGGCAGAGTGTGAAGGGTTGGCTCCAAGAAGCTGCTCAGGCACGGAGAGTAGAACTTGGGCGCAGACAGCACTTTCCCCACCAGTGCAGAGGCGCAAAAATCCGAACTCCTTCCCGCTCCCGCCACCAATGACGCGCAAAGCGGCGCGACGCAGCTTGTATGACGTCGTCGACACCGCCCACGCCCAGAATCGAATTGGCTGAAATTGACTACAGGAAGTCAGTTTCGCCCTGCAGCCGCCATGTTGATCATGGGCAACAGGAGACGTTTCCCCTCCCACGGCCACTTAGCGGAAGGAGGCCTGGCGGGAACGCAGTTCTCCCGCCGCCATGTTGAGTGTGGGCAAAGCCGAGTCCGAGGCCCTGGGGTCTGACGTAGAACGCAAAGCCCGCCAGACTTGGCCCCACTTCTCTTTCCCGCGAGCCCCGCCTAATCACGCAGTGTAAGTATTTTTGAAATCTGAACAAAACCCCAACCATCCAGAACACTCTTATTTCGACTGTTAGGATAATCCCCCAAACCGCCGTGGGCTGAAGCTTAGCATCCGTGGCCAGACAGCCAGGAGCGTCAAGGGTCTCAGGTCGGCGAGAAACTGGAGAATTGGAGGAAAGCCATGCTAGGAATTGGGATCCCTGCGAGATTTTTAAGCAAAGCCATGACCCATTTGCTTTTTGAGGTCTCAAGTGGACAGTGGCAAAGAGAGGGCGAGCAATAAAGCAGTTGTTGCCTTGTGAACATCGGATGGCGCTGGGCCTGAACATGGATGGTAAGAAGACCTGAAAGTCTTACTATACAAGGCTGATATAAAAGCTTCTGTTTTAGGCCACACAAACTCATCTTTATGAAATCTGTCTGTGACATCCTTCCCCTAAAAGCTTTCATGACCTCTCATTCGTTCCTCACTGCTCTCCAGATGTTGCCCAAGCTCCCCATGAAGTACTTCCAAATCATAGGTCGTCATTGGTGAAGCTATAGGATCATGACAGCCTAGAAATAGGATTGGCAAGGTTTAAGAAATAAAACTGTGCCCCAAATATTGCGTAGGACATAATTGTTCCAAAAAGTTGCTTTTTATCTGAAGTTTAAATTAACTATTTAGTACATAACTACGCAGATTGCTTTCAGGTATGTGTTTTTGCGTTTCATCTTCCCAGGGTAAAATAATCTCTTCATCTCTTGTCTATTAAACCACAAAGACACAATGAGAGTCAAAACCAACAGAGGTTAAAATCTCCTACATGCTTTATTGGACTTCAAAGAGTCTTATGAAATAACACAGAAAAACCCATGTGAGGGTGTCCAGGGGATACAAGGCAGTCTGCAGCCTAGCACCCTCCTAAGACCAGCCCTAGGTGCACCCACCCCAGGCCCAAAATAGGATCCCAGGATAAAGGCATGGCAGAATAGGGCATAGGGGAAAAATACTTTTACAGCCATAGCAAAAACAGGTAAAAGTTGTCTAGAAGATGGAAAGGTTGGGGGGAAGTGGTCACACAACAGCCTTCACATATACCATCTCCCTTTGCCATCCCTTCCCCAAATTGGTTGTGTCCATTTTGGCCCAGGCTATGCAGTAATATGAAAATGGAGTCTAAGTGGGAGTATGCTGTGCAGGCACTTGGGAAATTCAGGAGATTTGTTTTAAACTGTTTTGTCTTTTGGTTCAAATACAGCAACATCCTTGTCCAACAGCTCCAGGGCTCCACAAGAACCCTCTGTTACAACTGTGGTTCCCATAACCAGGGAAGCCAATTGTTTTAAGCCCAAGGAGTATACTTGGGGATGCTTTGAGGCAGCACCTCTTAGAGACGAACACTCCTACAGTATGGGGGAGCGGGATAAAGGGAGGCAGATGTGGATGCAACAAGAGAGAAAAGGTGACTGCCTTATAGCCCATGGCTCTGGCATTCACTCTTCCTCCAACTAAGAGAGGTCTCTCCCAGTCCATCCTTAGCCTGGCCTCTCTTCAAAACTCTGGAGACTTGTTCTCTGGGAATTGGTTCACTCCCCTATGGATCCCTAGAGACCTGAGTGAACTCCAGCATGAGGTTCTCTTCAGCCCACCATACTCCCAAAGAACAAATGTCACATATTAGGCCCTTGGCCCCAGTCAGGGGCCAACAGAACCACTATACATGGGTAAAGAGATATGAGGCACGAGTGTCAGAAGTTAATCCTCCTGTTTTCCCCACAACTGCTAGGGGAAGTTGGGATATGGTGGGAGGGAGGAGCCTGAGCAGGAGACAGAGAAACAAAAAACCAAACCTCAAAAATGGGACAGCAGACAGAAGCTGGACCCCAGAGGAGATGGGAGCTGAAGGAACAGCAACTAAGACATGCACTGAAGTGGAGAGGGAGTGACAGCAGCAGCCCACGGTTGGGAGGGAAGCAGGGCAGGCAGGCTTCGGTGGTCAGTTAATAAATAATGATGAAGGACCGAGGATGGAGGCAGCAGGTATGTACAGTACCCAGGCCCCTGGGCCAGACCTTCAATGCCCCAATCTAGGGGCCAGATATTTCGAAGGAAGGGAAGGCAGAAGACCCAGGGAAGGACAAGCTGTCTCACAACTGCCACCCCCATCCTGCCTATTTCTTAAGAGGCTTCTTAAAAATTTTTAGGGGAAACTTCTTCCTGCCTGGACTGGAGTCTGTCTCCTCACCAATAGAACCATTATCCTCCTCAGCCACAGCCTTCTTGCCAGCCAAGTGGGGAATGCGTGTGTTTCGGCTGGCCTGCAGGGCTCGGCTGTCCCCAACTGGAGATGGTGTGTCTGGGTCTGGGGAACTCGGGCCATGAGAACTGGAAGAATCCAAAGGTGGGGAGCCACCTGATGGGGCTGAGGGGCTCAGCTCCATCAGGCTATGGGCCTTGTCCAGCCCATGGTTCAGCGCCAGTAATGCCTTCTTGGCCAGGGCAGGGCTGTCAGGCAGTTTCTCCACCAGGCATCCTGGGTGAACCCCCTCAATCAGCCGGTGGCTACCATTGGAAGTCATCACATTGACAGCCTCATCTGCAGCACGGCCCATTTGAAGAGGCTTGGGGGCCATACGCTGGCGGTCACTCGTGTGGAGGGAGGACTCCGAATCGGAATGGGTCAAATCCCTGCAAGAAATGGGACGAGAGGAAGAAAAGGACATATATAGGATAGGGAGATGGGAAAAAGTGAAGAAGAGAAAGGGACAACATGAGAAGACAAGAACAGGGTAGGAAAATGGAGGCAGGAGAGAGAATTAGGATGAATAGGCAGATGGAAGGAGAGAGGAATGAGTAATGGAAGTTGAATAAGCCATTAGTACAGGATACAAAACGAGGCAGGAATAGGGAATGGAGTAGATTGAAGAAGAGACAGGAAAAGATGAGAATTGTAAAGGAAGAAAAGCAAAAAGAGAAGCAGGTAGAAATAAGAACCACCAGGAGAGGAAAGAAAGGAAAAAGTGATGGGAAGAGAAGAGGTGGACAAAACAAAAACAAATGTCATTATACCATCATCTGTCAAGCAAAGGGCTTTTAAATACCTGAGCCCCATCCCTGCTGAATTCAAAGGTCCAAACTATTGCACCCATAGGCTTAAAACCCACAGGTATCCTCCTCTGGATGCCATAGCTAGCTAATGTTCTTCCCTCTATCCCAAGTATTGGGGATTGAACCCAAGGGTGCTCTACCACTGAACTACATCCCCAGCTCTTTTTATTTCTTGATAGGGTCTCACTAAGTTACTGAAGCTGGCCTCCTGCCTCAGCCTCCTGAGTCATTGAGATTACAGGCATGTGCCACTTCACCTAGGACTCAGTCCTCTACTAACATAGAACCTACATGTTGTTCTGAGTCACCACTTTTCATGCCTTCCTCCCCCACTTACTCCTGCCACGCCCTGGAAAACATCCAGTTTGGGCCAGGCCCCAAGGAACACAGCACATGCAGTCAATGGTCCTGACCCAGGCTGGGGAGGAGAAGTTAGAAAAGCCTTGCAAACAATCCTTCACCCACACCAAAAGGCCAAGTTGCTGTCTCTTCCTACCTTCTCACAGGATATAAAGGAGATCACAGAGAAGTGTTATAGAGTTCAACACCAAGTGCATGGTGGCAGCAGGAAGGGTGGGGTCTGTTTCAGAGCTCTGCTGACAGGGAGAATAATATAGAGAGGCATAGAAAAGACAGTATGTTGGCCTTTAAGGAGCAGGGGTTCAGAAGAGCTCTGGACTCCTCTGTGATCTTGGACAAGTCATCTAACCTTGCTGGTCCACACTTTTGGCCCAATGAAGAAAATACTAGTTTAATCATCTAAAAATATTGTTTGGAGGATGAAAAATACTGGCAAAACACTTGAAAATATATAAAGTACTGTGGGAATGAAGATGATGAGGCCAGTCAAGCTGGGAGGTCCATATGGGGGCCAGTCACAAGAGGCTTTCTTTGCAAGGCTGAGTTATGGGAACATGCCACTGCACAATGGACATGCACACACAGAATCTAGTCCAGGAGCTTGAGACCCTTTAAGGGGCTGGCTGTTTCAAGGCAGAACATAAACCAATTCCAGATGCCACTGCTTCTGCCTCTATAGACAAAAGGGTAGATATGGGGATTCCCAACCAATTCTGAACCCAGTTTCTGCTTTCCCAGAGGCAAAGGAGAAGGAATCCATATGAGTGGGAGAGGAAAGCATCATAGGACCCCAAAAGGAGAAGGCCAATAGTTACAAGTTAGGGAGGGTACCAGGTCCCTTTAGTAGATAAACAGGGGGTTAACTCATAGCTATCATAGGTTTAGTTATCAAGGAATCAAGCAGCAACCCCATGGACTAGTAGTATCTTCCAGACTCAAGGAACAGCAGAAAATTATTCCATTTCTAGCTTTCATGCTACAAATACTGTTTTAGCCACATAATCTAGTATTCACAAATATTTAGTCTCTCATTTGATTTTATATATCTGACACTGGTCCTTGCTTCTATCTAAATGTGTCCTTGTTTTGCTAAGCCCCCAAATGATCTTCTCCCTACCCTGCCTTCTCCATACATATATAATCCATGGGAAAGTGCTAAAGAAATTCTAAGGAGCAACCACACTGAGTAGAGATCTTCTAAGCTGAGAAGGTAATGTCCTTAGAGCCTAGTTTTCTAACACCAAAGAAAAAAGGTCAAAAGGTTGGAGGTCTCCCAGTCTCACCACTTCTGGCTCATAGTCCCATTTTGTCTTGATTCCCACCCTTCTATGCATCTAAAAGCTAAGACTGCCAAATAAATATAAAGCCCACTGAGGGAGGCTCACTTTCCCTTCCTCAATCTTTGAAACCCTTCAGGCCAGGATGACCCTCCCCAAAGGCTAGACTGCCTTGGACTCCCATCCCATGTTACTAACCTTACTAGAGAGCCTGTTTGCCTTTAGAGATGATCCTCTGGTGCATGGTGCAAAAGAAAATTAAGTAGTGAACAGGCCAGGTGGATGCAGGTAGCTCTCCCACCCCTTCATCCCCAATGCCCTCAGCTTAGGCCTTGGTGCATGAGATTCACAGCATCCCCTAGCTTCCCCAACCCAATTCAGTCCTCTCCGTCTGTATTAGAGTTGTTTCTCTTCCTAGGCTTCTGGATGAAAATGAGGATGAAAGTGAAGATGGACAGCTCTTTGTGACCAAAAAAAAAAAAAAAAAGGAAGATCCCTCATAGATAACTTTCCAGAGTCTTAAGGGTTAGAGCTAGAGAGATGAGTATCCAGAGTGAGGTAGGACCAAAAGAAAGCAACAAATATCCAGGACTAGGCCAAAATCACTTCAGAAATATGAGATATTTCCAAATAGCAAGACTTTCTGAGGGTCCCCTAAGCTTGTTCCAGGAAGTCAAGGCTATACTACCTCTGACCTTAGCCTAGTATTCTTGAGGTATTAGCAGGGAAAGTCCCTGCAGATGCCAAACCAGGCTGCAGGAGTAAGTTTTTCATCAATTCCTTTCCTGTTCATTATTGAGACCGCAGAGAAGATAAATGTATCCAACAGAGTCTCCTGAAATGGAAAGCCAAGTTCTAGTCTATGCTCTGCTCCCAATTAGCTGTGGGACCTGGGGAACATTACCTTTCAGAACCTTCACTTCCTACTCTGAAAAATGAGTATTTTAATACCTACCCAACTTTTGTCCAAAACCCCCAAACATATTCAAGACTCATTCAATCACTGAAGCTGAAACAAAGTGTCATGCTACATTCCTCTCTTTCCTTTACCTCTCTAGTCAGTTACCAAATTATTTGTTTCTTTTCATCCCAAGATCCTGATTACCTCCCCTAGTGGTCTACTACAATGACTTCTGAATTCTTCATTTTCTTCCTGCATACAAACCACTAAAAATGTTATTTCTAAAAGCAAATCTGATCAATTCTCTTTGTTTTAAAACTCTTTTTGCCATTCTCTACCTCCTAAAGGGTAAAAGCCAAAATCCATAGCTTTTCTGAGATTTTCATCGTTCTAGCCTCTGTGTATAATGTTACCTCTGCCTAGAATACTTTCTCTTCCCTGTAAACAGGGTGTTAGCACAAATGTCATCTCCTTTGTGAAGCGTTCCCCCAGAGGTACACACTGTTAGTCACTCCTCCTTCCTCAACACCCCCATAGCACTTATCAGATTGTTCCATAATTATTCATGGACCAGACTGTAGTTCATGATGACTGGAATTGTATCTTATCATCTAAAAATGAATCCCCATGTCCAGAAGAATCTGGCACAGAGTAGACATCGATATATGCTTATTGAAGGAGTAAAGGAAGCAGGGGCCCCATTGAGAATTATAATGCATGTAGAAGAACATAGTTTTGGCAAAAGTGCTATAGGATCATGGGGAAGAATCAGCAAACCTCACACAGAGAAGGGAAGAAAGGTGTAGGAAATTTCTGATCTTAAAAGGGAGCCCCACAGCTGGGAAAGAACAGGACAAGGAGAAAATTCCCCACTGCACACATCCCCAGAGTTGACCAAGCAGCAGCCAACAGGCAAAGGCCAAGGTAAAAGCAGCAGGAAGGGAAGGAAGAAAGAGAAGAGAGACAGCTGATACCCCAAGCTCTCTGAATGCCCAGGCATCACAGCGGTGCTGTCAGAAGGGGGTGGGTCAGGGTAGGGATCCATCTGGAGGAAATCGGAAGTGCTGTGGGGATAATAAATAGGGTGGACATGGACGGTGGTGATGGTGGTGGTGGTGGTGGTAATGGAAGAGGAACAGGAAGAAGAAGCAGAGGCAGGTGGTGGGCTGGTCCCGTGGCCTTCAGAACTGAAAGACTGTCCAGATGAAAGGCTGCGCATTCGCCACAGAGAGACCCGGCTCGTCAAGAAGTGGCCAGCCTCGCCCTCTACCAACCTCTGAGATCCCAGGCCATGCTGTGGTTCCGTCAGGCGCTGCCGGACACTGCTCTGCAGGCTGGGGGCTGCAAGGAGAGTGGAGAAAGTGTGAGAAAGGGCCAATTCCCTTTGGGCAGCAGGCAAGCAGGTGGCCATAGAGAAATGCCTGCTGGAGATCACTCTGGGTCTTTGATGCCCAATCTAAAGAATGGGGTACCACCTCCCAAAAACCTCCCACCAGAGGTCCTAAAAGGATGGGAAATTGAAGATGAAGTGCCCAGATCAGTTTTAGTGGGAACTCCAATGGAAGGAGACCTAAGGCCAATGTCACTATAAAGGGAGGTGGTAAGGCAGTTAGTGGGAGGACATAGGCAGGGAAGGGTCGAACAGGAATTTGGAGCAAGGTCCGGGAGAGCACTAAGAACCAGCCTTTTCAGAATGCCAACTTCAGGAAATAACTTGTAACTTAGACAAGGACTTACACACAAACATTTTCACCAGATCACTATTAATTGTATGAAAGTAAACATAAAGGTAGGACAATGGGAAAACATGAATACATATACTATAGGGATATTAAAAGTGAGACTCATGCCAGGTGTGATGGCGCACACCTGTTATCCCAGCGGCTCAAGAGGCTGAGACAGGAGGATTGCAAGTTCAAAGCCAGCCTCAGCAAAAAGCAAGGTGCTAAGCAACTCAGTGAGATCCTGTCTCTAAATAAAACACAAAAAGGGCTGTGGATGTGGTTAAGTGGTTAAATAGGTTCAATCCTCAATCCCTGGTACCAAAAAAAAAAAAAAAAAAAGTGAGATTTTAAAAACAGAAAAATACCTGTTGAAATGCTCAGGGGAAGAAAAAGGATTAAAAAAAATAATAAGCATATGTGGCCAGGCATGGTGGCACATGCCTGTAATCTCAGCAACTCAAGAGCCTGAGATAGGAAGATCACAGGTTCAAAACCAGCCTCAGCAACTTAGCAAGGCTGTCAGCAACCTAATGTGAGACCCAGACTTAAAAATAGACAACGTAAAAAAAAAGAGTGGCTCAGTAGTTAAGTGCCCTTGGATCTAATCCCTGGTACCAAAAAAAAGAAAGAAAAAAAGTATATTTAATAACACTGAACGTTGGTTTTAAAACACTAGAGTTTGAGACCAGACCTTTCCACTTCTAGCTTGATCTTATACGTTACATCTCATTTCAATTCATAATTTGTAAAAGTCTGCAGTGTTGTTCTGATACTTCAAAGTAATATCTTTAAATACCTATCATAGGTCATAGCACTCAATAAATGGTTGTGGTTATCATTACCTTCACTGTTTTAAAATTTTCACAGATAAAAGACTAAAAAAACAAGTGCTCAGCTATGGTGAAACTATGAATGCCTTTTCGATACTACTATTCATCCTTTTTTACTCTACATATTTCTCTAATATACATGTAAACAACTATGATCCATCTCTTGGATCAATTCTGCTAATCAGGCTCTTGGAAGATGAAAACCACCATGCCCAGTAAAGGGGTAGCTGGACACCAGGTAACTGCAGAGCATCCAGCTTTGGCTCAATCCCAGCTCAAACTGAAAAATAAATGTAGACCTTTGTCTCTTTTCCTTCACCTTGAGAGATTAGCTGCCCTGATTTCTCCTGAAGATGTGACAAAGGCCCAGGTTAAAAGGGTGGCAGAAGCCTTGGAAGGGGCTCTAGGAAAAAGCACAGTTACATAGTGATAGAGAGTTGGAAGGCAGGGCTTCTATGGCTGGTGGCCTTCAAGGCATTAGAAAGAGGTTGAAGAGAAAAAGGAAGCCCATAATATGAAGGGGAAGAGGAAGGAGAAGGTAGAAACAGGAAGGAGGTGAGAAACCTGAAAAAGATAAAAGGCCTGTTTTTTCCTTCCCTCTTTCCCTCCTAGCCCAGCTGGAAGAAAGGCAACTAAGACATTTGTGTCACTGGGCTGAAGGGAGAGCCAAAGATTTTCATCACTATGAATATTCTCTCTCCAGCTCTTGGCTGAGCAGGCTGATTCTTCTCACCCCCGAACCCCTCCCTGCAGTTAGTAAGGATGGTGCTGAGGGGACAAAGGGAGCAAGCAGGGATGTGAGGCAGGCAGGAAAGGGGGTCCACGGGGGTAGGAGTGTTGGTTTAGTCCCAAAAGTTGGAAAAAACAAAAGCCCCAAAGGGGCTCCTCAAACCCGGGTATTTCCAGAGGGACTGATCATCCGAGCCGGCGGATGTAGAGCAGAGAGAGCGGTCACTGAACCTACGCCCCATCAGCCAGGCAGCATCTAGGGTCAACACCCAGGCCAAAAGGAGAAGAGAATCTGATTTATGGAGGGCTTCAGCCTGCCCATCAATGAGAGATGGGAAAAGCTGGGGACAGGGGATGGATTAATCGCTCAGAGCTAATTAAGGTCCCTCTCAACCTGTAGAACATAGAAACATGTAAACTGTCAAGGCAGGATCCAGCTCTACCTGTTTATCATCCAAATCTTCGTAGCCCTTTCACTAAAGTCCTAATAAGATCAGGGAGACAAAGAGACTTGGCTAGGGGCAAAGTATCACTGCGAAATTTACAAATAAATTTTGTTTAGAGTGAGGATCCAGCCCAAGGAAAGGATCTAGCCTTCTGAAAGTGAGTCCCTAAATAAGCCATGGCTTTCTTCCATTCCCTCAGAACTAGTGCCACAATAGCTTTACCATAAGGTCTATTATTTTTAACTAAAATAACCTCTCATCCAAAAGGAAAATTCAGTGGTGGGTCAATAAAGGAAAAGTCCCATCATTTACTAAGGAATTCACCTAGAATGTTGTGCCTTTTGGCATGGCTCTACTCACTCTCATCACTTGCAAAGGAGAGGGAAGGCCCAGGACAGAGAATGGGGAGGTTCAAGAGCTCAGATGGAAAGCAAGACATGCTTGTGTAGGAGGTCCCTCCTGGGCAAGAATGTCTTCCCAGCTGGGAGACTTTAAAGGTATATATCACTTTAAGGGACTGTTGCTTAATGGGGCCTCCCACAAAAAGGAAAAGAGAAGAGAAACATCATTCCATTCATCTGTTTTAGCAATTACAAATAAGGAAAATAAATAAATGCAATGAAATGAATGCCATTTTTCATAGTGAATGAAAATCCCTAAAGAAAATTATTTTTATAAAAGTAGATAGCTGGGGAGAGGAGGGAGAATAAATAGGAAAACAAAGAATGAAGAGAAACACATTTAACACAATAAGCCCAGGACAAACAGGGCAAATAGCAAGGAAAAACCATCAAAAGGACAACTATAAAAAAAAAAACAACCCTGGGCTGGGGATGTGCCTCAAGCGGTAGCGCGCTCGCCTGCCATGAGTGCGGCCCGGGTTCGATCCTCAGCACCACATACAAACAAAGATGTTGTGTCCACCAAAAACTAAAAAAAAAAATTAAAATTCTCTAAAATAAATAAATAAATAAATAAAAACCCTGATGTGAATTGTGCTTTATTAACCAAGGTCACGATGTGAAGTGTTTCCCTGGTTATCCATCCCATGTGCTATTTAAGCCCAGCAGAGGCCATGGACTTTTCAGCGTGTATCAAAGATTCCTTTCCTCAAACTCCACCAATGAGGTCACCTACACTGCATGGACAACGGTGACACAATTTCCTCATCCATGTCATCCACGTCGTCGGTCATGATGAAGTGGGTGGGGTTTGGGCGTGTACTGCCCATCCAGCTGGGATCTATATTGAGGGCAGCTACCAGTGAGTGCATGCCAGGGTTATTAACAATCTGGAAACCACAGAGGATCTCGATCTGTTGCCAGCGGTGCAGGCGCTCCCTCAGTGCTGCTGTCACCTCGCTCAGTGCTTGCCTGAAGACAAATAAAAGACAACTATAGTCATGGACTGGATGGGAGTCCCAAAAAGAATGAGGCCTCTTTTCAGAGAAACAAGCTGGAGGTATGTGTGTGAATTATAAACCCAATAAACTTATAAACAAGGTGGGAGCTGAATCAGGCCTAGGGTGGGAGAGCAGAGCTGTCACTCCCCCATTAGGAAATGGATTAGAAGCTCTATATGCCCTCAAATTCTAAAGGTAGTATGGACATTGCCAGAGTTGATAACTGGTGCTACTTACTTAGCTGTTAGGATTTTATGATCCACATCATCCAGGGAAGAGCTGTGGGCCACATGGAAGGTACCAAAGAGTGTGTTTCTCTTCTTTTTTATCTTCTCAGCCTGCAAAGATGAGGCCCCCAGCTTAAAGAGAGCAGGATTAGAGGTTGAAAGAAATGAGAAAGGGCTTCCTGTGACTGGGTTCCCTTTCTCTTAACACATCTTGGGCTACCCAAGGAAGAGAAAATTGGGAAGGGAAAATGAAGGCAGTGGGAGAGAATAAAGGAAAAGAGGAAAGAAGCAAAAGGATTCCCTGTCAGGAAGGAGAACCTCTGTCCCAACAACAGCCTGGGCCTGGGAGACCTTTCCCTCAACCTGCTTCCACTTGCTTCATCTTTCCCAGAAGGCAGGAGGGTGTACCCATACACCCTTATTCCCTCCTCCAGAAGCTTAGGACATTATCAGGAGCTGTATATCAGGAAAAGAAATAGAACCCACCACAGGATATCTCTTTGCCCAAAGGGAGGTATAAGATGAGGCAAAGAAGAGAAAGAGGGCTGGGAAAACAGAGAAGGGTGGGGAGGTAAGAAGGGGGCAGAAGGAGGACCACAGAAGGGCAGGTCTCACCCCCTCCTTAGCCACCAGCAGCTGCTTCTCAGCATTTTGCTTCTTGATGTTGTAGTATTGCACCTCCACCTCATGTGTCAGCTGTAGCCACTTCTGAAGGGCCTCTGGAGCATACCATGAGCTGTGTGATTCCAGCTCCTTCTCTGCTTTTCTCAAGGCCTCCCGAACCTATACAAACAAGAGAATGTGAGGGTTTTTTCTTTTTTTTCTTTTTTTCTGATTCTTTGTTTACTGATATCCTTTCCAACACCTCTCTATGATGCTTCAGAATTCAGAGCTTTTATCTGCCTTACAACCTGCTCAGGAAGGAGAAAGGGCAAGCATTGTTCTTCAATTTCATTTATAAGGAAATAAGCTCAGAGAAGGAAAGTAACCTACTCAAGATCACACAGTCAATAGGGTCAACCAGAATTCAAAGAGATATTTTTTGCTCCCCACTCTAGGGTACTCTTCTGTCACATCAGCTGACACTCCTCATCATGTATCTTCCCTAATCTCTTCAGGAACAGGTCACTTGGGGCATCACCTTACTAAGAGTTAGGATCTATGCTTGGGCCTCAAAGTAGCACAATGTGGCAGGAAAGTACTTGGTTAGGAAATTGTGTCATTTGCAGAAAATGGGTGAACCTAGAGACCATCAGACTCAAGACAAGTACTATCTGTTTTCTCTCATATCTGGAAGTTGTGGGGTAGGGCAGGAAGAGGATGTCATGAATGTAGAAGAGAGACCATTAGTGTAGAGGAAGGTAAGGAGAGGTACTGGGGAGTAAAATCAATCATTTTATGTTATATGCATATACAAATATGCTCAGTGGAAGCCACTCTTCTATATAATTAATATGTACCAATAAAAAAGGGGGAAAAAAGTATTCAGTTGGGAATCTGAAATCTAGTTCTGGTCCCTGGTCTGTCACTTGATGGCTGTGTGACCTTGTGTCTTCTTAGAAGATCTTAATTTATGGGAGTAGAACCTTTCTTCCATACAAATCCAAACCATCTGTAAAGGGGTGATTTCAGAAGAGAGTAGGCTATTTTTTGTGGAAGATATGTAAACAAATCATGTCAGATGATTCCTAACCCAGGAGTACATTAGCCTTAAAGATCTCCAAAGTCATTTCAAGTCCACATTCAAAGTCTATGATCTCTCTGTAAACAGGGCAGGTAGTCTTTGAAAAGTACTCTGAGATGGAAAGAAAATGAGTTTTCCCATACCTAACTTAGGTAATGCCAACAGAGGTCCAGAAATGAAGGAACCAATGTATAAGTAGAAATCTCCTCACTGACTTTCTCTATAAGGGGCACACAATAAGGCAAATTGACACAAAGCACACAAGTGTGAAAGACCTGAAAGTATACACACACATTACATACACTGGATTCCTTACTATCTCACTCAGGCTACCAGTAAAAGTGATCCCCAACTCTCCCAGCTGGATGCTAACCTTCAGCTGTTTAGAATCCCAGAGTACTCAAGATTGAGAACAGTCTCATAATCTCCAACTTCAGCCACTGAGGCCATGTATCCCACAGCCTAACCCAGGCCAGGAGGGTCTTAGTAAAGAACAGGACACCTTTCTTCCTGTGAGAGCCAGTGAAAGCATCAATCTTCATTTGATTTAGGATCTTGGGAAAAAAAAAAAAAACTATAAAATGCCCCTCTCCTGGTTTTATAGATTTAAAATGAAGAACAGATATCTTAGAGGCTAATAAACCAAATCTGAAAATTTATGATCAACTTGTACATTTAAAAGAGTTAAAGTGGGGCTGGGGATGTGGCTCAAGCGGTAGCGCGCTCGCCTGGCATGCATGCGGCCTGGGTTCGATCCTCAGCACCACATACAAACAAAGATGTTGTGTCCGCAGAAAACTAAAAAATAAATATTAAAATTCTTCTCTCTCTCTTTAAATAAATAAAAAAATAAAAGAGTTAAAGGAACAGGATAAACTAAGTAGGGAAGAATGGATGGAGAAGAGAAAAAAAAAAGAGAGTAAATATAGGAAAATGTGATCATCCTGGGAGGCTGGCCCACCAGACTAAAAAAACTGTTTGTTTAATGAGAGAAATAACTATTAAATAGGGAAATGAAGATGATCAGAAGCAGAGAGACAGAGACAGACACACTGTTCAACACATAAGTAACAAATGCCTGAGGAAAAGAAGACAATAGATGGGCAAGTCAGAGTTCACAAGTCCTATTCTTTTATTCTATGCCTATGGTTTTCACACACTTTAATCACATGGGGAAACTTTTAAAATACAGATACCTGTCCCCTAACTTAGAAATTCTCATTTAATTATCTGGGCATTGACCTGGGCATTCAAAACTGTTTAAAAACTCCCCGGGTCATTTTAATATGGCAGATCAAGTTCATAACTACTAATGCATATATTTTAAATATTATCACCAGACTTCTACTGCCACAGGGCTTTATTACTACCATTCATAGGACTTCTGCATTTCTCATAGTAGAAGAATAATAGATTAATGCAACAGGTCATGGTAGAAGAATAATTCTGAACCAACATCTGGAAAAAAAGGTGCATAAATTATGAAAATAGGATTTTTTAAAACATCAGAGAGCCGAAGAAGTGATTAAGAGTAGGTCCACAGTTCCCTAAGTATAATCCAGGGACCTCCAAGTGTCCCTAGCACCTTTCAGAGAATTCATGAGATCAACACTGTTTTCATAATAATACTAACACATTACCTTTTTCACTCGTCTTCTTTCACAACTGAACTGCAGAGTTCTCCAGGGGCTATATGATGTTTGAAATCACAGACTGAATACAGACACTAATGTAAGAATCTAACAGTCTATTAAGCCAGACATTTAAAAGATTTGCAAATTTGTAAAGAGTCATTTTTCACAGTTTTTTTTTAATTAATCCTTTCCGGAAAATTGGTAATTTTGGTTAAAAGGCAAGGGGTTTAATATAGTTCTTTTAAAGGAATTAATTTTTTAAAATTTCTCATTTTTAATTTCTAACAGGGTAAATATCAACAATCCTGCCCTTGGAAATTGCATGGAAATGAACGAAGACCCTCATTGCTATACAAAATTACATATAAGAGGTTGTGAGGGGAATGGGAAAATAAACAAGGAGAGAAATGAATTACAGTAGATGGGGTAGAGAGAGAAGATGTGAGGGAAGGGGAGGGGAGATAGTAGAGGATAGGAAAGGTAGCAGAATACAACAGTTACTAATAGGGCATTATGTAAAATTGTGGATGTGTAACCGACGTGATTCTGCAATCTGCATTTGGGGTTAAATTGGGAGTTCATAACCCACTTCAATCTAATGTATGAAATATGATATATCAAGAGCTTTGTAATGTTGTGAACAACCAATAAAAAAAAATAAACAATCCTGCCCCCCAATAAAATGTTCTTTAAAGTTCTAAATGATTTTAAGAGTAAAATGGTCCTAAGACCAAAATGTTTGAGAACCACCAGGCTAGATTAACAAAAATCCAGAAAGGAAAAGAAAAAAAAAAGCCTTTTTAAGGTGAATTGACAATTGCACATCAATACGTTCCCTGGAGGCATCTGATGATTCTAGGTGAGGGCTGAGAATCAGACTTGGGCCATACAGAAGAACACCACTGGGGCACAGAGAAATAAACCTTTTGTGAGAACTGAATCTCTTATAGACTTTCAAGGCTAAGGTGAAAAAAATCTACTAACTCTCAATAAAAATTCAGGACATGACTTTGAAACTGAGACAAATCAGAGCTAGACCCAGTCTTGTAAAACTATAACCCAGCTCCAACGCAGTTCCATCTCTGTCGAAGGGTGATCCTTGCCTCACCAAACAAACCTAACAGGAGAAAAGCTGACACCTGTACATGATGGAAGGTAAAATCATCTGGATCTTCTATTTTTTATACACATCATCTAGCATTTAATAAGATAAATTATTACACCTGAAGGAAAACACAACCAATAATCTGGAGGAAAAATAAGCAGTCACATAAATGATCCAGATGTAAGAGTTTACTAGACAAGTATTTTAAAATAACCATACTGATATGTTAAAGAAAATATAGGAAAAGATAGACATAATAGATAGAAGAATGTGAATTTTGGACAGGGAGATAGAAGAGTAAAGAAAAATTGATATTTGAAAGTTTAAACCTACTAAATGGGTTAAACAGCAGAATATAAGATTAAAAAATTCAAAGAAGCCGGTTGTAGTGGTGCACACCTACAATACCATTGGCTCAGATGGCTGAGGCCAGAGGATCTGAGTTCAAAGCTATCCTCAGTAATTAGTGAGGTCCTAAGTAACTTAAAAAGACCATGTCTCAAAATGAAACATAAAAAGGGCTGAGGATAAGAACCCCTGGTTCAATCCCTGGTACCAAAAAAAAAAAAAAAAGAATTCAAAGGAGCTGGTCATGATGGTGGGCCTATAATCTCAGATATTCAGGAGGGCAGAAGGATTGCAAGTTGAAGGCTAGCCCCAGCAATTTAGTGAAAGCTTGTCTTAAAATATACAATAAAAAGGGCTGGGGATGCAGCTCAGTAATGAAGGACCCCTAGGCTCAGTATCCAGTACACAAAATAAAAATTAACAAAGTAAAAAATAAAGAAAGAACTCAGATACCTAGCACCACAAAAACAGGGGAAAAAATAAAAGAAAATAAAAAACACTCAGATTGAACAAGGCACAGTGATGCACACCTATAATTTTAGTGACTCGGGTGGGTAAGGCAGGAGGATCACCTCAGTTCCAGGACAACCTCAGCAATTTAGTGAAATCCTGTCTCAAACTAAAAATAGAAAGTACTAGGAATGTAGCTTAATGGTAAAGTGTCCATGTGTTCAATCTCCAGTCATTCTCTCAAATATATCAAAAGAACGGTGTATTATTGGAATTTGTATTTTATCCAATACGACAAATTTTAAACAGAAAATAGCCAGATCAAAGCAAAAGAGAAAAAAATAGAACTGAACATAAATTACATATAAAATACACCTAAAAGATTGAATATAAATACTGAATTCTCAGAAAGGGAGAAAATTGAGCAGAAGCAATATTTTAGGAGATACATAAATCCTCAAAAAATGTTGTTAAATGTTTTATGTTTCAATGAGTTCATTGTTACTAATCATTTTTCATAAGTACTTGTTGAGAGTTCTTATTGGTTCATTTTAGTTATATA